ACTCAAACCTATCAATATACACTTAGTGAGATTTTATTTTTTTTTTTAAACAAAGACGTAGCAGAATACATTTTCTTCTACATTTATGAAGAAATTTGATTTTTTTTAAAAAAAATGTTTTTATTCAATATGTTTTAAAGCAGAAAGTAAAAATTACTGTTTTTTTTTTTTCAAAATGTTCAATTGTTTTTCATTTATATAATAAAAATTAAAAACCCAGTGGTGTAAAAACCTAATGGTGATCAAATACCACCAAAATGAATGCTCTACTTGTGTGAAAAAAAGATATACATCCTGTTCGGGTACAGTGTTGCATGACTGCGCAATTACCAGTTAAAGTAGCGCAGTGCTAAATAGCAAAAAATGAAGTGGTCATGAGTGGTCCAGAGCTGAAGTGGATAATGACAGCTCACTGTCGCTCTCTCTCTCTCCTTGTTCAGGGTGACTGGTCTTGTCTCCACACCCTCCTGTAGTATCATGTTGTGGGCAGAGCCTGCTGGGCCCCTTCCACAGCTCTGCTCTCAGCACAGGCAATGTATGGCACAATGATGATGTCACTGCTACTTTACAAGGTAATATCTGGAGTTGCAAAGTGGAATTTATTTAAATAAAAGTTTGTGTGCCTGGAGTGTATCTTTAATTAGTAAGCCCTATAAACTGTTCTTTGTAAGTGAAGTGTTACAACATAAGGATTCTTGTAAGCCTCCATACTTGTTTTTCCAGGCATGACTCACTCCATGAGCTATAGAGTTCTACAGTTACATTGAAATTTCTCCAGATTACACTGGGGTGCTTACTCATACTGTACATATGTAAACACTTTGAAAACGTTGATGCATGTGCAAAAAAATGTATGATATCATGTGCTGACTTTTCATCGGTCTAATAGCATGCTGCATACCAGGATGAAGAATAACTTCAAGTTTGAAAAGATGCAGACAGAATACATGAAAGAAGAGGCTGCACAAAACTGCTACAGCGACCAGCGTGAAACGTTATCATTGTTACAGGGTTTTTTTAATCATTTTTTCCCCCAATGTCCAACCAAAGACTCATATATAGTAACACAAATAGTGGAAGTATTTCCATTAGCAACCAGTCTAGTTTCACTTTCATTCAAGAACCCAGTGTTTGTCATCCTTTTTTCAGTCACGGCACCCTTTAAAAGTATGCAAAACCTGGAGGCAGCGCAAATCTAAAATGTAAAAAAACCTAAATGTTACTTATCAATGGGAAAACTGAGCCTCGGAAAATGTACACAGCCTCCTTGATGAAATGAATTTTTACATCATAAAATTCCCCCTTCACATCAGAAAAAATTCCCCCTTCACATCAGAGGTTCCCTCATCATATCAGAAGTCCCCATTCACATCAAAGGTTTCCCCATCACATCAGAAGCCCCCCCATTCATATCAGAAGCCCCTCTTCCACATCAGAAGTCCCCTTTCACATCATAGGTTCCCCTATCTCATCAGAAGCCCACCTTCACATCAGAGATTCCCCCATCACATCAAAAGTTTCCCTTCACATCAGAGGTTCCCCCTTCACATCAGAGGTTCCCCCATCACATCAGAAGTTCCCCTTCACATCAGAGGTCCCCCTTCACATCAGAAGCCCCCTGCTCCCATCACATCAGAGACTCCCCTGTCACATCAGAGGTTCCCCCATCACATCAGCGGTTCCGCTTCTCATCAGAGGTCTCCCCATCACACCAGAAGCCTCCCTTCACATCAGAGACTCCTCCATCACATCAGAAGCCCCCCTTCACATAAGAGACTCCCCCATCCCATCAGATGTTCTCCTTCATATCAGAGATTCCCCCATCACAGCAGAAAATTCCCCCTTTACATCAGAGGTTCTCTCATCACAACAAAAGTCCCCCTATCACATCAGAAGTCCCCCTTCACATCAAAGGTTCCCCTATCACATCAGAGGCTTCCCTTATCATATCAGGAATTCCCGCTTATATCAGAGATTCCCCCATCACATCAGAGGTTCCACCATCACATCAGAAGTTCCTCTTCACATTAGAGGTTCCCCTATCACATCAGCTGTGAAACACAAGCTGAATCAATGTAACTATGTAAAAGTATACCATACCTGGAACTTATCTTTAAAGTGTAATGTATGGTAAAGTGGACCTGAACTCAAAGTTTAATGTATGGTAAAGTGGACCTGAACTCAAAGTGTAATGTATGGTAAAGTGGACCTGAACTCAAAGTGTAATGTATGGTAAAGTGGACCTGAACTCAAAGTGTAATGTATGGTAAAGTGGACCTGAACTCAAAGTTTAATGTATGGTAAAGTGGACCTGAACTCACAGTGTAATGTATGGTAAAGTGGACCTGAACTCAAAGTGTAATGTATGGTAAAGTGGACCTGAACTCAAAGTGTAATGTATGGTAAAGTGGACCTGAACTCAAAGTTTAATGTATGGTAAAGTGGACCTGAACTCACAGTGTAATGTATGGTAAAGTGGACCTGAACTCACAGTGTAATGTATGGTAAAGTGGACCTGAACTCATAGTGTAATGTATGGTAAAGTGGACCTGAACTCAAAGTGTAATGTATGGTAAAGTGGACCTGAACTCAAAGTGTAATGTATGGTAAAGTGGACCTGAACTCATAGTGTAATGTATGGCAAAGTGGACCTGAACTCACAGTGTAATGTATGGTAAAGTGGACCTGAATTCAAAGTGTAATGTATGGTAAAGTGGACCTGAACTCAAAGTTTAATGTATGGTAAAGTGGACCTGAACTCATAGTGTAATGTATGGTAAAGTGGACCTGAACTCATAGTGTAATGTATGGTAAAGTGGACCTGAACTCAAAGTTTAATGTATGGTAAAGTGGACCTGAACTCATAGTGTAATGTATGGTAAAGTGGACCTGAACTCACAGTGTAATGTATGGTAAAGTAGACCTGAAGTCAAAGTTTAATGTATGGTAAAGTGGACCTGAACTCATAGTGTAATGTATGGTAAAGTGGACCTGAACTCACAGTGTAATGTATGGTAAAGTGGACCTGAACTCACAGTGTAATGTATGGTAAAGTGGACCTGAACTCACAGTGTAATGTATGGTAAAGTGGACCTGAACTCATAGTATAATGTATGGTAAAGTGGACCTGAACTCATAGTATAATGTATGGTAAAGTGGACCTGAACTCATAGTGTAATGTATGGTAAAGTGGACCTGAACTCACAGTGTTAATGTATGGTAAAGTGGACCTGAACTCACAGTGTAATGTATGGTAAAGTGGACCTGAACTCATAGTGTAATGTATGGTAAAGTGGACCTGAACTCATAGTATAATGTATGGTAAAGTGGACCTGAACTCACAGTGTAATGTATGGCAAAGTGGACCTGAACTCATAGTGTAATGTATGGTAAAGTGGACCTGAACTCATAGTATAATAATGTATGGTAAAGTGGACCTGAACTCACAGTGTAATGTATGGCAAAGTGGACCTGAACTCACAGTGTAATGTATGGCAAAGTGGACTGAACTCATAGTGTAATGTATGGCAAAGTGGACCTGAACTCACAGTGTAATGTATGGTAAAGTGGACCTGAACTCACAGTGTAATGTATGGTAAAGTGGACCTGAACTCACAGTGTAATGTATGGTAAAGTGGACCTGAACTCATAGTGTAATGTATGGTAAAGTGGACCTGAACTCAAAAAGCAAAAGACTCTAATTCTTCGACTACTTGGTTCTTGGCTATATTCATGTAAGCTTCTTAATTAGAATGATTTGCATATTTGCACAACACACCCACTCACAAGTTCTGCCACTTGTATACTTTTTAATTTTATTCAAAAACACCCTTCTACATCCCAGCCTTAGCAAAAGTGCTTCAGTGAATAAAGACGGAAGGCTTTACCAAGAACACAGCGGGAGTTAAAATAAATCTTGCTAATTGATTTTATCCACAAAGGCAAAATGGACTTAGTTTGCATGCATGAATTTCAGGTCATTACTTTTCCATCTAGACAGGAACATAGATCACTGCTTCATTCACTTGTGCAGGATTCATTCCATTTACAAACCAGCGCATGCATTAATGCTGCGAAGATAGACAGGCCAAGGCAATGTATATGATCCTGCAAGAATTCAGAGACACTAACAGACAGGTTCGCTGTGCCAAAATCCAACAACAAGCATTATTTAGATGCTGAACATGAATATTTTTTTCATTGTTCATTTCCCAATACATACAATTAGGCCAATAAGCCAAAAGGAACTAGAGTAGCTTGAAGCTAAGCTTCTACATAAAATGAGCAGGGAACCCTGCTCTTACCCTTCACCACTGGCCAAGGTCCCACCCGAATTACGTACTTACCCTATTCCTATGATTACCTGCATTTTTATTTTATCATCTGTGCTTGTTATATCATGTGTGTGACATCGTTCCATTGGAATCTAATCACTACAATGACAGCATGATGCACTATGACACTCTAAATCAGTAGTTGTTAACTGATGAGCTCGAATTTGGCCCCTGACATCACCAAAGGGCCATCCATGTTCAATATATGTAATGCTTGAGAGGACTGTCAAAAAAAATTGCAGACCTAATAGAGGAAATGAGGGTCAGCGAGTGTGGACAACCTACATTTTTGGCTGGGGACAGGGCTATCTTAATGCATGGAAACACCAGGTGTATAGGGGCCCCATGATAATCTTGCATCACATCATACTTGCCAACTGTCCCAGATTTTGTGGGACAGTTGCGCTTTTTACTAAGCTGTCCAGGATGGGCAGCTTCCCATACCTGTACTGTGCCCTCTTGATCCCAGCATAGTGCCCTCCTGACTCCCCCCTGTGCTGTGCCCTCCTGATCCCAGCATAGTGCTCTCCTGGTCCCAGCATAGTGCCCTCCTGACTCCCCCCTGTGCTGTGCCCTCCTGATCCCAGCATAGTGCTCTCCTGGTCCCAGCATAGTGCCCTCCTGACTCCCCCTGTACTGTGCCCTTCTGATCTCAGCATAGTGCCCTCCTGACTCCCCCTGTACTGTGCCCTCCTGATCCCAGCATAGTGCCCTCCTGACTCCCCCCTGTGCTGTGCCCTCCTGATCCCAGTATAGTGCCCTCCCTGGTCCCAGCATAGTGCCCTCCTGACTCCCCCTGTACTGTGCCCTCCTGATCCCAGCATAGTGCCCTCCTGACTCCCCCCTGTGCTGTGCCCTCCTGATCCCAGTATAGTGCCCTCCTGGTACCAGCATAGTGCCCTGCTGACTCCCCCTGTACTGTGCCCTTCTGATCTCAGCATAGTGCCCTTCTGACTCCCCCTGTACTGTGCCCTCCTGGTCCCAGCATAGTGCCCTCCTGACTCCCCCTGTACTGTGCCCTCTTGATCCCAGCATAGTGCCCTCCTGACTCCCCCTGTACTGTGCCCTTCTGATCTCAGCATAGTGCCCTCCTGACTCCCCCTGTACTGTGCCCTCCTGATGCCAGCATAGTGCCCTCCTGACTTCCCCTGTACTGTACCCTTCTGCCCCCCCCCCCCCCCCCGAATAATGTGCCCTTTGTCTTTGATTGGCATGCTTTCTTATTGTTTAAAATCTATTTTTTTGAAAGTATTAATAGATATATCCTGATTATATCAACTGTTTATACTTTCATTCTTGAGAGCAGGTGTGTAAATTGGGGTAGCCTGGTGGGGGCCCCAGTGCATTACTTTGCACAGGGGCCCATGATGCTATTAAGATGGCCCTGGCTGGGACGATGCCACAGAAGACAATACAAAACTGGGAACATGTTACATGAGGTTGGTAGAGATCAATCCTATTACCCTAATCAATGATCCCCCTACAGACTGCTGAGGACCGAGGGCTGCACATCAAATGGCAAAGGACTGCATGTGGCCCTCGGGCCACAGGTTGGGCACCAGGGTTCTAATCATCACATGCAGGTTTTTTATGCATGGATACTGTTACTTAGAAAATACTATTTTATCTGTTTTGTTTTTTTTTTAGTTATCGCCAGTAATATCCAGTATGTAGTGACACTGCACCAATTTGAACCTTCCTGCTCCCCTGCTGATTTTTTTTTCTGCAGTGTTTGATGCAGCAAGAATACGAGGATGGATGAGCAATTGGCAACCATGTCACTGAAAAATAATACTGCATTGTTTACTTTAGAGACTGGAATCTAAAGCTGGTCTTACATATAGATTTCTTTTGTTATAGCAAATGCGCCCTAGTAACCAATGACGCTTCGCGGTCTGACTGCCAGTATCCTAGAAACCACAGCCGTTGAGGAGGGATCAGGATGCCCTCCATGCTCCATGGTCCTGGCTATAACACAGGTGTGTTGCAGCGCTCCCTAGATGTGCATTGTAGTTCAGCTAGCTAGTTTTAATGACAATGCACCATAATGCAGAGCATAACTAAGCATTGCGGAATGGATATTTTATTGTTATAACTGTTTTAAACACATGAAATGTGATTGGATGACGTTCTGCATTACAGCAGTGTAAAGATCTGTAATGTTCTGAACAGTAGGAGAAAGGCAGAAGTGAGACATGCTAGAGACTTTAAGTAAGCCTGCATCACTGCAGTACTCTGCAAAGAGGAACTGCAGTCTTTTTAATGCTATTCAATATACAGGACCGAGAAAATTATCTTTAGAAATCTAAGATTATCAATGTGTTCCAATGTATCAACATGCTGCGTATACGGAAGAAGATAACTATAGCCAAAAAGAGCTTGGGCCAACAATTTGGTCTATGCCATATATCTGCCACAGCCATTACAAGGGATCTTGCTCTTCCAATTTAAATTTTACATTTATATTAGGGGGATGTAGCAGGAAGTGGTAGTGATAGATAGAGATAGGAAGACCACGCAACTAGAGATCCTAGAAAATAAAAGAAGCCAACAAATAATTCAGCACACCAGCTACATAGCTGTAAAATTAGGTTTTAATGTGTGTACGTAACAGGCCCTTTTTAAAACAAACCCACGTAGTAGAAAGTCACCAGCATTTGAACCATTTAGTGTGTACACAATGTCACATAGGTCTATATGCCAACATTTCTGGCATTGCAGAGTCCCCTTTCCTCAACACAGTGATAGTACCCAAGGATAACCTTCCCCAATGATGCCAAAAAGGATCAAAACCAAAATAAATGTTCATATACCCAAAACCTATGTACAAAATTATGTCACATAGGTCTATATACCAACGTTTTGGGCTTTCCTCCAGGCCATACAGTGGTAGTACCCAAGGATAACCTTCCCCAATGATGCCAAAATGGACCATAACTAAAAGAAATGTTCACATACCCAACACCTATGTACAAAACTATGTCACATAGGTCTATATGCCAACGTTTCGGGCTTTGCAGGGTCCCCTTTCCTGCAGGCCACACAGTGTTAGTACCCAAGGATAAACTTCCCCAATGATGCCAAAAAGGACCATGACCAAAATAAATATTCATATACCCAACACATACATAAATCCTTATCAATCATTCCCTGGCAGGAACGTACATAGCAAGATGCTGGAAAGAAGATGAAGATGATTCTACACAGCACCATCCATTGTGGTGACTACAAACATCCTACAGGTTATATTTAGTCAAGCACTGCAAGGATTGTGGATCTCTGAGTGGGATTTGGACTCTTTAAAACAATTCTCACCCAAACAAAAAAAAAAACTTAAATGCAGTCCCAGGGCTGTCTTAATAGCATCATGGGCCTACAGGCAAAATAATGCATTGAGACCACTACCAGCCTGCCCCAATTTATGTACCTACTCTCAATAATTACAGTTTAAATAGTTAATAGAATTAAACATATATTTATTAGTACTTTACATAAAATTAATTTTAAACATGCCACAAATGAAAGACTGATCAACAGAAAAAGCCGAGGGTGGGTGGGGGAGGTTGGGGACTCAGAAGGGCACAGTACAGGGGGAATCAGAAGGACACAATACTAGGATCAGGAAGGCACAGTGCAGGTGCTGGGAGGCTGCCCAGGCCACCCTGGGACAGCTTAGTAAAAAGCATGACTGTCCCGGCAAATCCGGGAAAGTTGGCAAGTATGATGTAATGCAAGATTATTATGTGGCACCTATGCACCTTAATGCCCATGCATTTACACAGCCCTATGTAGTCCTCCCTTCAAAAAAAACAATGAATATTGACCTGTCCAGCTGCTTGCACTGCCAAATTTCTCAGGTTTGAGGAATGAAGCTCTTCTGCATTCTACACTTCTGGGAGTGTTAAATGCCAGTGTCCCCTGCTCCATTCCATGATTTCCTCCACTGGCCTCCAGTTCACTACAAAAAGCACAGGGGCCTGTGGAAGGGACCACAAGGGACCAGGCACCGAACACACCCAAAAGAGTGATGGATGCACACGATCCTGAGAAAGCTTCTTTCTTCAACCCAGAGGAATTTTGTGGCTTAGACAGAAGAACAGGTAAGTAGTTTCTTTTAAGGAGGTTGTACTTTGTCAAATTGAAATGCAGTATTCTTTTTAAAGAAGTTAGAAAGCAGCAGTATGCACAAGACAGCATAATAGAAGACTTCTCAAAATCTACATGAAAACATCTTCTTGAGGATTCAAGATGTGTTTGATCTTATTGCAGCTCCAGAAACAAAATGGCCATGTTATCTGTAAACCTTTCTCCAAGGTCAGATGATCATTTCTGGCTCTCCAGGCTACATGAATAGCTTTCACTTTCCCCGCAAGCTCCTCACTGAGACACAGATTAGTTGTTTCCAAGAAATGAACCATGAGTATGCATTACAAATCAAGTTCAGCTCTTCCCTTTTAAGGTTTTCAGTGCTGACTTAGTTGAATGAAGTTTTGGTGGGTTGTTATAAAGGGTCTGTAAATATAATATATAACCTGGTCTGTATTATGAAAAAAATAACAGTGGTGGTTAAGTGGGTCATGGCTTTGGTAGCGTATCATAGATAGGATATGCAAGAGTAGCATTGTGGTGAAGATATCTTTTGATATACACCTGACTTCATGTCAAGCAAACTTCCTGGTGAGCTTCCTTTAGCTTATAACTTCTGACAGAAGAGAGTTATTTATAAAGCCAAAACAATAGTCTGATGAGGCAAAACATGCCTAAAAAGAACCCAGTTGGGTTTAAAATGAATTCAGGTACAAGGTTTATGTCAGCCATTCTCAACCAGGGTTCTGTAGAACTGTAAAGTGGTTCTAAAGGCTGAAGTTTTTTTCACCTTCAAGCAATCTATGCATGAGAGTAAAAAAACTTCTGTATCCAGCTCCTCCCCAAAGCCCCCCATTATAATTACCTGAGCCCCATCGCGATCCAGCGATGTGCATGACTACAGTGGTTCTCTAGGCTCTGTCCCTCCTCACAGGGCAGATCCATAGCAGTGGGAACAATTGGTTCCTGCTGCTGTCAAACTCTGTAAAGATGGAGAAGCAGGACGCAGGCATTGAGGGTCAGTGAGCACGCACGAGTGCCCCCATAAGAGGCGGCTTTCTAAGGGGGCATTGAATGAAGAGGAGAAGCAAGCAGTGCCTGTAGGAGATCCGACATGAGGAGGATCTGGGCTGCTCTGTGCAAAACCATTACACAGAGCAGGTAATTATGACATGCAGTGGTTCTCTAGTCTCTGTCCCTCCTCACAGGACAGATCCATAGCAGCGGGAACAATTGGTTCCTGCTGCTGTCAAACTCTGTAAAGAGGGAGACGCAGGACGCAGGCATGGGGCTCGGGAACGAGCAGGCACGAGTGCCCCATAAGAAGTGGCTTTCTATGATGGCACTAGATGAAAAGGAGAAGCAAGGAGTGCCGTTAGAGGACCTGACAAGAGGAGGATCTGGGCTGCACAGTGAAAAACCAGTGCACAGAGCAAGTAATTATAACATGCATTGGTTCTCTAGTCTCTGTCCCTCCTCACAGGACAGATCCATAGCAGTGGGAGCCATTGGCTCCTGCTGCTGTCAAACTCAGTAAAGAGGGAGATGCAGGCATTGGGGCTTGGGAACAAGCAGGTACAAGTGCCCTCATAGGAAGTGGCTTCCTATAGGGGGCACTAGATGAAGAGGAGAAGCAAGGAGGGAAGTTAGGGGACCCAACAATAAGAGGAGGATCTGGGCTTTGCACAGAGCAGGTAATTAAGACGTTTGTTGTTTTAATGAAAAACAAATTTACCTTTAGAAACACTTTAAAGTGGGTGTAAAGGCTGAAGACTTTTTACTTTCATGCATTCTATGCATGAAGCTAAAAATCCTCTGTATGCAGCTCCCCTCGCAAACACCCCCCTTCCCCTTCCCAATACTTGCCTGAGCCGATCTCGGCCAGCGGATGCCAACAAGAGCCGAGGCTCCCCTGGGTTTCTCTCTCCTCATTGGCTGAGATACAGCAGCAGGAGCAATCGGC